CAGTAGAATTTATCTTTGGACTTGGGTGTTGAAGATATTTTAATCTGACAACACGAATGTTTAGTAGTTAATTTCTGTGTCATTTGGTCTCTTGACGAGAGATCATACCACATCTTCCTATTTGTATATGTGTTTTTTTTAAATTTATTTGTGTTGTATGTCCAAACAATGCAAAAACAGAATGCAGAATCTTTAAACTGTGCTGCATTGGAGCCTATATCAAGAGACTGATTTTACCTCCTATTTGGGTGTTTGACAAAGATGCATTTTATAAATAAATTGCGGCTTTTTTTATATTTATTATACAGTTAAGATTCAAGGCCATATTTTGCTTGAAATGAAGAATAATTACTCTTAGTACGAATTGCGAGAAGATGTTTCGTAGTTCGTATACAAGAAAATTATAGCAAAGACTCTTTTTAAGTTAATTAGGTTAAGTATCTTTTTAATAAAGTGGTGCAACTGGATGCACCCCTAAATACAAAAAAATATAATGTTAGTGAGTGCTCAATCCTCCCCTTACCTTGGACAGTGATTAAAAAGTACAACCAGAGACATATATACACATATGTGTATATATGTCTCTGGTACAACATAAGAACAAACTATAAAAAAATCAGATGAAAAAGGCTGAACTCATCAGATCGATTCAAAAACCTAAATTCAAAATCACAGACCGGACGTGGCAGGGTATTTATCAATCCCTCATACGTAAAAATAACAAAAAAAGCAGTTACCCAATAAAAAAAGGCAAACAGAAAATAGTGATCAATATTTAACATTCGTCAGCTATACGCGATGGTCTTTTCGCAATAAAACATGGTAATAAAGGCCTTTATAGTCGAATAAGATGTGAATACAGTAAAAGAGACTACCATTAGTTTGCTATCTATCCCAAATGCTTGTTGGGTAAAAATACAGTATTCAGGTCTTACCTATTTTGCATTAATCCGTTTTTCAAAAGAAAATTCAATAATCAAGCCGGAAGTATTTCTAAGTAGCTGTTTTGTCTGTTTTTGTAGCTTTCTTTCTTGCAAGTACATTTACGCCTGTTTTATCTTTCAGGATATCTGAGTTCTTATGTATAAAAATTATCTGTATACTTTTTCAACTTGATTTCAATAATTGGCAACACTTATTTATAAAGTATTTCGGATAGTGCGCTGTATTGTAGTATAATTATAACTATATGTTACGAGGGTATAGACCGAGGAAAATATGTTTTTTTTTTGGGGAACAACAAAACGAATTGAAATGGAAATATAAGTCATAACAAGAATATGTTTAAATTACAGAAAGCATCCATTTAAATCATAAAATAATAAATCATAGAATGAATGTATTTTATTAATAAATTGATCGTTTGTTTTAAAATTATTTTAAAAATAGATCAACGAAAATAATTTATTTACATGAGGAAAAGCTACGTATTCGTGACGTATGTGTATGACTGACTGAAAAACCTGTACAATTATTTCCCATTATTTCGTCCTCTTAACTGCAGTGTAAATCTGCAATAATTGTTAAATGAAGTTTTTTATTTACACAAAATAACAAAACTTAGGTTAAGACGGATTAATTTTTTAATCGGTTGTTTAACGTCAAGTTGCAACTTTTATATGACATATTAGGGAGAGAATACTAGTATTCGATATGATAAATATGAACAAGGATATATGTACGTGCAGATTAACGGAGCTGTCGGCTAGAACGTTTTCCCCCGTACTTTCTATGAATTCTGTGATACGATCTACGATTTTCAGTAAAGTTTTCAAGGAAGAAGCCGGTAAACTACAACCATTTATTATAGTGTAAAATCTATAATATGGGTTTCGAATAATTATCTGTAAAACGCTGGTAAGTTGATGATCAATTAAAGCGGCTTTGGCAACTTCATGAAAGTGCATCGAAAATCATGTCTTTGAGACCAGCATTGGACACTTATGCCAACACGTTGAAAAGAGAGCAGGCTGAACACTTGCCAAAGATACAAATAATTGTGTAAAGAACCACTGAAAAATGTATGTTCACGGGAGGACAAACGTATGAAAAATCAATATTTGTGGTTTTGTTATGTTGGCAATAGTCATTGTCATTAATTCATTCGAAGATAAACATGTTAAAGACTAGATACGCCATACTACCAAATCTCAAACGACATTATGTCATCTGCTGATGCAGGTGCTGCTGATCCTCCGGAACACACAAGTTCACTCCGGGTTTTTGGTTTGGTTTGTGTTGCTTAATTGTTTTATTTAGTATAGTGCTTTAGAGACTTTTGTTCGTCTTATTCTTTTAGCCATGTTTTGTTGTTGTATTCACACCTATTATCTTGACTCCAATGTTTTTCCCAGAAACGTTTGTTTGTAAAACTATGCCGTGGTATTCAACATTAACATTTGTCAGAAGCTCATATACATATATATTTGTTTTTTTTTCAAGTTTGTTCTTGTTTTTTTTCAGCGTTATCAAATCCGGTTTGGTGATTTATCCGTTTACTCGACTAGGAGAGGAAACATTTATGTCGGGTCCCAACATTGCGAAATTTGGTATAGAAAAGCATTTGGAAACTATTCGGACACTCAAAACAAAAGACACAGATATAATACTGTGTACAACTATGAAATCAGGTTTTTATGTTTGCAAAGCCTAATATAAGATGATGTGCATCACGTATGACCCAAAATGAAATATCAAACTTAAGTTACTAATTCGTATATCTGTTCATTTCCTATTAACAATTATGTATTAACAATATAAAAATTAAAAATATCACGTATTCTCATTGCTTTTTTCCGCATTTATAATATACTTTACTTGGTTACTAAACTGATCTGAAATAACAATTTTTGGCAAAATTATTGACAAGCCACAACCTTACCGACAGAATACATTTTATCCACATAACAATCGTTGTATAAGATAGCTTGCAATGTTAAGTATATAAATGTTGATATTGTAGGGCTGTGGATCGTCTCTGAATATGAACGAAAAGACCTTAAAAATGAAAAGAGCTATGTTGGCAGTGTTTGTAGATAATCAGCCTCAAATTATAAACAAAAGATCAAAAGAATAATATAAATATTACAATCTGATAGAAGAGTTTGTTGTGCATATATGTGGGGCTATTAGGTTCATTTATAATACGTTTTGGTTTTCAAATTCAAGGGGTAAAAACAAGTTGAATTTTCATACCACCATCTTAATCTTATGGATACACATATACTATCAAGTTATTAAATGTCAATTAGCATACAATTACGAGATATCCATATTAATATGGGTTTAAAGTTGATATGGGGTTTGATGTAGAAACTACTGTTACATTAAGCGGCTCTCATTGGATACAGTTAATAAAACAGTTGCAATTATAATTGTAAAAAAAAATTCACTTGTTGTTACTAAAATTCAGGTGCATTGGATTCTAGTCCTTTGGCTCTCCGGCTTATAAGTGTTTCTGGGGATGCTATTCGAAAACAAAGGACGAATGACATATCATAATCTTTTTATCATATACTTCCACTCCCGTTAATATTGACGGACAAGTAAACAAACGATTTACGACAAATATTTATTGAGAAATTACGGAAGACATATTATATACCTTATAATATGAGACGATGGAATTATATTTTTAACAAGGCGTACTCTGCTATAGTGTTAACTTTTCAACCACAAAAATACCATTCATGAGTGAATTTAGACACAATAAATGTAAAAAAGAATAAATACATGTTATTGTCTTTAATCACAGTCAGTTATCATCTGAATCGAATTAAGCACAGGGATGACTGGGGGAATTGAAATATGGTCACTTTTGGTCTTCGTCCAATCGGCACATTTAGGGGTCCGTAGGTGATCTGTTGCAATGCAAAATTGCTGTCCCTGTCCAATATGCCCTTGTTTTCGTTTTCAAGAAGCTGTCCAAATTTCCCAACCTTTATCCCGGATTGCCTCTATACATCTTATCGCTTTTTACTGGACATCACAAAGGTTCTTGTAAAATTTTGACGTCAAAAAGAAAAGTGATTGTTGTATGACGTCAATAGTTCAAGTGTCGCAAAGTATCAGGTCAAATGTCGCAGATTCCCAAATAGCGCTAAGGTCTATTATAGGTCCTACCTTTTGTATATATTATTACTTTGATCTCAGACTGTACATGAAAAAAAAGCGAAAAATCAATCAATCAAACGAAGCGGTTACGTAGACACCATTTCAGATCTATGCATGACAGTTGCCGTATTCAACCCTCTTTTGCATATAAAAATGTATATGATTAATGTATATATCAAACACATATGCCGTATATGTGTGATTGATAACCAGCGATATCTTTGGTGTGAAGCATATGGTGTGAATTCAAAATTAAGTCGAATATCAATTGGAATACGATTTCTTGATTACCCTTTTAACTTTTTTAGAATTGTCCCGAATATATAAGAAAATGTCAAAACAGACTCAAAATGAAATACTCAATTTACAAATTTCCTTCCATTTTTCCGATTGCGAAAAAGTAACTAAATTTATTAAATGCATGGACGTATGATAGTTGAGGGGTGTAAAAGTGATGATCGATCATTCATCATTTGTATAAAGTACTGTCAGTAAACGCATCCTGTCTGTTAACTTAGAATGCGTGCATGCGCTGCATTGGATAACGCTATCATATCAGTTTAGAAAAGGTACGTTTTATTCATTGAGGAAATCAGAATGTGTTATGATAGATGTTTACACTTATAAATGTGAAAAATTTCAGAATTTTTGCAAATTAGCTAATATTTCAAATAAAAACACTTTTGGTGGGGTTCGTGTTGCTCAGTTCTTAGTTTTCTATGTTGTGTTTTTGTATTATTGTATGTAAGCCTCCAACAATTATGAAAATATATATGAATCAATATCGTCTGCTGTTTTTCAATATCTAATGCAAGTTTTATTTAAAATCTGCATCTTCGCTTTGACCAAGCCAACATAGATAAAGAGTTCAACAATTTTTTTCACAGGTACACACTGGTGCCATGAAATATTGTCCATGTTACTCTCTCAGTCTCTAGAATATAACACAAAAGGTGCTTTACATCACATGTTGTTGGACGTCAATGCACACTTCTTTGATAAGTTAGATGAAGTAGATGACCCTAGACTATTCACAACACATTTGCCTTTACATCACCTACCAACTCATCATGTGAAAAATGGATACAAAATTATATACGTGAATCGAAATCCGAAAGATAGATGGGCTTCTAATTACACATTTCTTCATGGAAAGCTTGGAATTCCTGATTGGACATGGGATGAATTCTATGATAATATGATCCTTAAAGGTACATGTATCGCACTTATTTTTTCGTTTATACTTTGGGATTACAATGATGGAACTGCAGCATTGTATTTGAAATCACCGGTATTCGAACTAAGGCTGTTGTCACATCAGCGTCAACAGCAAGTGTCGAGTCCCTCTGACCACTCTGCACACTATAAAAAATAAGGAGATGTGGTATAAATGCCAATAAGACAATTTTCAGCCAGAGTTGAAATGACGAAGATAAAAGCAATCACAGGTCACCTTATTGTATCCTACAATGAGAAAATTCCATATCGTATGTCACCAAAAAGGTGCCGACATGAAAACGTGAAAAACGCAAAGCAATTAAAACGAAAAGAACTAACATCCCAATGTATACAGTGCAATTTACGAAAAACATATTTGTAAGATATGAAGTAAAGACAACCTAGTATATTTAAACTTTTATTGTCCGTTAGACTTTCTCATTTGACTTTCACGTAACTTTGACCACTTTATTCATATTTCGGCCGGTTATGTAAGGTGAATAATAAACATGAAAAATAGTTCCTCCCGAGTATTACGCATCATAGATAGTATATTTAAGTTTATTCAGATTTTTTTTTGATTTTTTAAACAAATGGTAAAGTGATAAAATGCTACCTTAATTAGGAAAATACGAAATTCATTTTTGTGACATTTCATGAGCAAATGAAAAAAAAACATGAATGATCTGATGTTATTGTTGCAGGGTTAGAATTTATTTGAATCAGGTCTCACATACGATAGCTGTAAACGTGAATATGTATATCTAAATTATGATTGATTAAGAAACTAATTGACAAATGATCTGTTAAATTCTTTCCATGTCGTATTAGTCTGGAAAACTATTGAGGAGAGATAAACTGTACTCAGTTATGTAAGGACTACAGTCAATGACAATCATAACAAATGAAACTTCAAATTCTCCCCTTGCCTCTTTTATATGTTCACGTAGTAAGCCATTTAACCATTAATATTATTAAACACCTCTTATATGTTTTGGAGTTTAGTGTGACGACCATTTTCACTGAACTGGTAAACATTTTGATTAGGGACCAGCTGAAGCCCGCCTTCGGGTGCGGGATTTTCTCGTTGTGTTGAAGACCCATTGGTGTACTTCGGCTGTTTTCCGCCCTTTGGTCGCGTGTTGTATCATTGACACATTCTGCATTTCCATTCTCAATTTTACCTTGAAGAAGTTGTTTACATTTTGATTGTATTTTTTGCAATATTTCTAAACTCCCATGTAAGTCTATTCACAAGGGTTCTCTGTTTTTGTGTCTTCTGAAAAGTCTTAAATAATATAGTAATGTTTTCAAAAACGTAGTTTTAAATATCTTGTGTGTTCTTGTTCTTTCTATTGGCTTAATAATCTATGTATAAAATTAAACTTAACTTTTAACAAGCTCTCTAAACAAAATATTGAGTTGTTCATTTAAATCATGAAAACATAAAATGAGTAAATGTGTGTGTTCAAGTCAAATAATTTTAAATCGTAAATTCTGAATTTATTTCTTTTCAGACGACTTTTTTGGAGGTTGGTTTAACTTTACAAGGGAATTCGAAAAGGCGGTACAAACTAAAACAGCAAATATACTACCAGTTAAATATGAAGATTTGAAATTAGTAAGTGTACGAACAACCATATTTACATACTGTTGTGCATAAAACTAGAAAAGAAAAGTCCTCAGAATAAAAACAATAATATTCAGTTATTCATACGATGTCTGATACTAACAGGCACCTAAACTGAGGAATTTTTATTCTTTCAAAAACTTAGAATCTTTTGAACTAGGATGATATGTCTTCGTAGATTTTACCTTGTAAATTAGCACATTAGACAGTTCAGCTTGTCGCTCTAGTAGAACCTGTGTTCATTTTCGTTTGAAATCAACATGTTCTAAGCATCATTATACGTGTAATGATTGCACTGAATGTTAAACAACAACTCGCTAATCCGTCCATTGTATTTCAGTAATTTCAGATAAATAAATTATGTATGTAGTAATGATTTTTAAGTTCGCCATAGAGAAAGCATTCCTTCGCCCTTCATTTCGAAAAAAAAAATATTAAAAACAAAAACAAAAACCTTTTAGTCAGGTCTTAGTTAGTATTTAATTTTGATGAAAACCAATCAATGTTTTTAGCAATAACTAAATTACATGTTTGGTTCATGAAAATTCTCACTGTTGATTGGCTGCCAACAATCGCCAAGCAATCCAAAAAATAAATTTCATGTACCAATTAAATGCAACATTCAGGACAGAACGTGCTTCCCGTGACCATATAACAACCATGAATAGAAAAAACAAACGAAAATTGTGATATAGATTGTTATTTCATGGTTTTAAAATAACATCATTATAAGAAATGAATGCTCCTTTTTGTTATTTTTTAGGGATGTAAAATTTTGATCGTACGCAAATTTTCTTAAATGTACTTCGGTCAAAGCTTCTACACCCAATTCAGTTCTTAATTGAAAATAAATTGTTGGTATTATTACATCCAATAAAATCCACCCATGGACTTGACAAAAGAAAGGAGCATCTCATCGAAGTCATAATGGGGCCTACAAACGCATCCATTATTCAAGTTTGTAAATCATTGGGATTCTTAAACCAATATTTAAAAGAAAATTAAGTTCAACATGTTTTCGTATGTGTCATCTAGCTACATAGACTAATGTTTTTGCTTCATCATGTCGCAACGGGAAATGATAAATGCGTGCAACTGAAAACTTTTTCTTCGTACTGCCTTAAGCTTTAGATTGTGATTTGTGTTTTCATTTCCGTGTATATGATTATAGGCCGATATTATACATTACCCTCTAACATGGTTCACAACACGATTATTATTCATTAAAAAAAAGTTTGAAAACACAAGAATATTTTTAATTGACATAGTCTCTTACATGCATCTTTCTGCCGTTTTCTATTGTAGAAAGATGTTTGGTTACATTGCAAGTTATATCATATTTTACAATTAACATTGTTGTCAATATAATGGAATTGTATGCGACTGTCATATAAGTGAGAGGTTTAGCTAGCTATACATTGTTGTCAATATAATGGAATTCTATACGACTGGCATACAAGTGAGAAATAAGTGATGTCTATTTGTTTTGCTCACACATTGTTGTCAGTATAATAGAATTCTATGCGAATGTCATTTGAAAAGTTAAGCAAGCTTAAAATCCATTTTTTTACATAAGGAAATGTCTGTACCAAGTACCAGTTGTTGTTTTCTATTCGTTTGATGTGTTTGAGCTTTGATATTGCCATTTGATAACGGACTTTCCATTTTGTACTTTTCTTTGAGTTCGGTATTTTTGTTATTTTACTTTTTATTTCCATCTAAAACATTTTTTTTTATTACTTCCACTAAAATGTCCTCATCTCTCTGTTTCAGCATCCGTTCTCAACGATTGAAAAGATGGCCGAGTTTATAAATGTCTCGCACAGTGAAGATTTCATTAGAGACATAACAGAGAAGTGCAGTTTTGATAACATAAAAAAGCACAAGTTTGATTCTTCAAGAATTATTGATCCCAAGCATGAATCGACATTATTCCGAAAAGGTAATTTTATTACAGTAGATAAAGTGACCTATTAAATGCCTACAAGTTATTTGTATTGGAATACTGTCATTTTAATTTCTGTTTAAGGTCTGTTTCACTAAAATTGTACATTTGTCTTATGCATAACTCATAATGGATTTAGTTAGTAAACTTTTTTTTCAAAGGAGAACAAATAAGACAACTTTAAAGGTCACTTGCATTTTAAACGGGAATAAAAACTGATCTACAATCGCCGTCAGGTAATAATGCTAGATGTTTTCTGTTAAATATTTGAAATTATGTTTAGGTTGAGACAATTTTCTGACTATGCTTCAAAAAGACAAGTTCCAAGTAACAAAAAAAAAGACCTACCTTTGTTGTCATTGGACTGCCATTTCTTACTTGAATTTTCTAATGTAATTTCGTACTCTGCAGGAAATCACGTGTTTATATGAAACCGATTTTAGTGCTTTTTAAGTAAATTATTTATACACAGTCAAGTAATTTAATGGATACTATATGCCTCAATATCACAAAGAAACTCAATTTATTGGATTTGTTTAAAGCCATTTGTGAACTTGAGATTAAGGATACTACAGAAAATAGAAGGTTTGCTTCATATCACAATCCTTCATTCGATATTGACACAGATTGAGGACATCAAACTAAAACCTATGACTAACGTGTCGATTTCTGGTTTTTGATTCTCAACTTTCAATTTCTCAGCAGTAACATCTGCCCCCATCGTATGGCGTTTGAATATATCAATTGATAAGGTATACTCGTTTATGTTCACATAATAAAACTGCATTAGCATGGTTGTGCCACTTACAATAAACACTTTATAAATTTCGAACCGCTGTATCGATTTACTTTATCAGGAGCGCTCAAACCTAAACATTTGAACGCGAGGGAAGCATACATACACTACAACGTTAAGAGCTAGATGACCTAACAGGACCTAAACAGAACAGCCAATTTCCTGCAAGGTCAACTTTGTTCTGGAATGGAACTCCAACAGACTTTTGAGGAAGAACGACTGAAATGACACTTTATTTAAGTATAAATTATACAATCACATGTTTTAAAGTTCTTAGCTCATTGGATAGCAGAGTAGTCTTCTGATATATAATTTTACCGGTTGTGCACTATTCTATATTGGGACATTTTGAATAGGTGTGGAGTCGCATGGCAGGAGACGTGAACACTGTCGATGCATCCGTTCTTACAATCTAAAAACTTTCGCGACTCAGACTTAAAAATCAAAATAAACCGGAAGTTTCGAGCACAAACTTTGCACTCCAGGTACTGAATAAGATTTATGACCGAACGGTCGGTTATTACTAGTTTTGAAATCATTCGGTTTGCTCAGCATGTTTGTGTTACCTTGGTTTTTCTTTCCAACGGATTTATGTGATTTTAACATCGGAAAACAGACTATTGATACGATATAGCAATATTCAAAACAGAGATCATCTACATTATATCAATATACACCGAGATTATAAGGTCGAAATAAAGCATAAATTTAATTTAATAACCGACAAAAAGTATTGCATATGTTGGAACAAATTTGAGAGTGGGAATATTCAGAACATGCTCGCACAACAAATGTTCGAACATGGGAGTTGTTGTTCAAACATCGTGGTAAATTATCTAGTTGGTACTTGAATATGTCTTATGCATGATCAATAACTATTTGGAAATTGACCAAAATCTATCATTTATTGAGAAGGAGAAGGTAGGAGTTGGTCACGAGGGTGTCATCCCGAATTTAAGAAAAAATAAAGCATGATTTCCGGGTTCACGTAAAATTGATTAATAATTCTCGAGTCCTGCTGCAGTTAAATTCCGGATTCACGCGAAAATGAATGCCCAATCCCTAATTCCAGCAAAAATAAAGGCCTAACTCCGACATCAATGTCCTTCCGCCCTTCTCTTTTTATGCATACGCACAGAAGGGACTTTCCTCATGACGTTACATATACATTTATTGAGACATCATGGATTACAAAACACCTATTTTTTTTTTTCGTTTTTTTTTCGTGTTTTTTTTAACTTCAACTTGTCAGCAACGTTTACTCTTAAATGAAAATTCTTTCAGTAAAGAATTAAGGCAAATAAGGCCCTTGTCATACCTCGCCCTTAAAATCCATTTTTCAGAAGTTGCATAAAGTCAAATAGAGCACCAATGAAACAGTTCACCAACACAACTGAGCATAACAGATATCTTATATTTGATTTAATCTTTTTTAACCGTATCAACATAAGAATATTAACCGTTCTCAAATGGTTGTTTATAAAATGTTTCGATATACATGTATACACAAGTTGATGTTTATAATGAAAAAAGACAAACTATATCGTGAATTGTATACTCTAGAACTTCATTAAAAAACAACACAGTTGTCTGAAAGGACATGTGATGTACTGCTTATACTCCTTTGATTAAACCAAACCAGGAAGTGATGTTCTATTCCAGAGGTTTTTTTTTTCTTTCTTTTTTTTTTTTATTTTATCGCCATACAAATGTAATTCAAAACATTACTGAAATGTTTTATTTTAACTCGTTTAACTAATGTTTTACATTTTTTCAATATGACGTTCTTCTACAACATAGCCATTTAAAGCAATACCGGTTCAGTGTAAATTTATTGTGTAATATAATTTTAACACTCTTGTTTAACAGGTCTTATAGGGGACTGGAAGAACTGGTTTACCGTAGCACAGAATGAGAAATTTGATGAAATGTATAGAGAAGAAATGAAGAATTGTGATGTTAACTTTATCTATGAACATTAATCATAATATTGATTATAACTATTTTCTGTTTATGATATCGTTTTGTTGCAGTAACTGGCTGGTCTGCAATTACAATCACATATACATTCACGTCTTACTCTAGAAACCAAATTGTAAATACTGTCAATTGAATAAATATTGGTCCTCTGTACAATTTTTCAGCATTTTAATAACCCCCTGGGTTTGGTTTGATATACAGATAGTCATTACTGGATTGTCTCCCGCTTAGTTGGTAAAACACTTACTAAAGTGGGCCTCCATTTGACTCTATGGGATGTATGAATTGTCAATCACATGAGTATAGATCCTCTGTATCATTCACCAGCATGTAAATAACCCCCTGGGTTTGTTTTGATATAAAGAAAGTCATCACTGGATTTTCTCCCGCTTAGTCGGTAAAACACTTGCTAAAGTGGGCCTCCATTTGACTCTATGGGATGTATAAATTCGTAGATACGAAGTCAATCAGTCAATCATGTATGTCCAATGGATGTTTTATTGAAGATAATTTTCAAATTGGATTGGAATTTACAAAAAAAGAAAAACTACACATTGAATATATTTAAGGAATGATTGATGTAGGCACTACTTCTAAAATTACACTAAAAAATGATATATTTTTTCAACCAATCGTCTGGAGACTTTTCATTATTGTCTTTTTACTCTATTTCAAGTTTTGTGAAGTTCCAAAGGCGTTCAAGAAAAAGCAAACATATTGTTATGGTTTCGTAATTCTTGATTATTCATTTTTAATCATTTCTTTTGTGGTCACGTTCTTTATATTGTATAATGAATTGTAAATATTACTATAGATTGAAACGTAAATGATACGGAAAATGGTGACAAATCTTAAGAGCATATATTTTTATAATTGTCTGATTTATGTTGCAAGTGTAGAATCTACTATTTAGTTGTACGAGTTGTACATTTAACTTGTAGTCAAGTAAAACTAATGTGATTCTCTGGTTACTTGTTGTAGTTATACCGGTATCGACGATCATTAGTCTCCCAGACATGTAGCTTTAAACTCTTTTTATTTATGAGTCACTTCAATCCTGGAGGCCGCCATTGCTTGTTTACAAACGTTCTTATAAAAGTCCCCGTATGTTTAAAGAGCAGTTTGTGTCGTGACGTCATTTGACGTTAGAACGTCAAAAGTGTGTCCAAATCGTGTCCAAAGTGTGTCGTGTACTATAAATTCTTGCGCGAAATTCTCTCATATTCAGTCTTGTTCTTTCTGGGCAGCCATTGTTAACTTTTGAACAAGCTTACAGAAATAGAGAATTTATCCTGTTGTTTCGTTAAGGTTAGGTTCAAACAATTTAGGATTTCGAGAATTAATGTTAATATTTATTTCGATCTAATTATCAAAAAGTCTCATTAGGATAACGCTAGCTTAATAAGAAAGTTCATTGCATATTATCGATACCGCCAATTGCGGAACACCCCGGAAACCATCATTTTTAACTATAAACTGTTAATTTCTTCTATAATTTTTCCTTAAACGTAATAACTTGAGTTTTCTATTTATGCTAAAATGTGTAAGGATCTGTAAGGATTATATGCTGTGATTATTTATTAAGTATTTTTGGTTATTACCAGTCCACTTGCCCATATCTGAATCAGAGCTACCCAAGCCCCCCACCCCCCCCCCCCCTTTTCCCCTATTGTAACTTTCACAGGTACCAGAGAGGTTACCAGTTGTTATTTACTATTCAATTCGTTCCTGTATAAAGTTATAGCTATAAGAGAGTCTCGTTATAATAGTTATTTGTTAAACTTGTTGATTATATAAATAATATAAATATGTAAAGCTGCATATCTCGTCAGTGTAACTTATTAAATTACACATATTTAGTTCGAGATACGACTTTGTATATATTGAAACGCCAAACCGTCATTAATACAGCTAGTTAGGCTAACCCCCCCCCTCCTTTTACTATTATTACCTATAAAAACAAGACGACGGCGGCAGTTGAGCTGCATATTTGTTGAATAGTTAGACACCTGTTTACCAGTAGTCCAGTATTATATATTGACCGTTGCATAGCAGTCATAGTAACCGAGATACCAGGCAATAGACAATAAAGGAACGCTTCCAACCCTCGACCCGCTACAATATTGAATGCAATAACTTGCCTGTCAACCACGGGGTTGTGAGTTAGATCCCTGAATGAAGGTGCGCTCGACTACAATCTTAGTTCACAAGGATTGTGAGTTTTCCTGCCGAAGGTCGATGGTTCTCTCTTGCTTTCTCCACTAAAAACAATTGCAATAAAATAGCAATAAGAGCTGAAAGTGGCGTTAAACACGAATCAATCAATCCTTCATTTTAATCCGTAATATCGATTTTGAAGATGATAACACAAGTAGTACATGTAGTAGATAAGGATCTGTATTCTGACCTTATTAATTTTGTGAAGTGTTTGGTTAGAATTGTAGTCCGATACGGTATTTTTTCGTGATACCGTCGATCATGTCGATACCGTTTTTTTTTCGTTTATGAATGCAACATGTCACCGAAGTTTTACTTGCTACGAGCAACAAGACGGTTGCCACTATGGAAGCAGGGTCTTCTTAATCTTCCATAGCTTCTGAGATCGCTCCTGTTTTTTAGTTGTCTTCGTGTTGCTCAGTCTTTACTATTCTGTGTCGTCCTAGAAATTCTGTTACATGAAATACATTTATTTTGAAATATGGAAAGGATAAAAGACATGTATATGTTAAATATAGCTTATCTTTAAAAATAAATGTGAAAATGATATCAAAAACTTCATCCTAGACACGTTATAGATACTTCTAAACGAGCCCTTGAATTGTATCTTTTCATAACCTGTTTTTAATACCGAGTCCAGCATGTTTATCTTCTGTCATTGTTCATGTTCTTGTAAATGTTCACCTAACACTTGTGTTCAGTTCGTATACACTCTTTAACTTGTCAAAGCAGCTTAATTAATCTGTTCTGCTATTTGGGTCTTCTTTGGGGTTCGTTGACATAAAGTATCCCACCCTACGGCATGGATGTTATAGTATGCTATGAAACAGATTTTATCGCCTAGACTAGATATAGACGAAGACTCAAATACGATTCAATTATCCATTATCTCTCTTCTTTTGGACATGTAATAATTGGTTCATTGTCAAGGTGACATTTTAACCTTTCTTAATTCTTATATCATAATAATGATATTATGATGGATCAAAGGTTTATCTATTCCAAGATAAAAACCCAATATCTGATTGATAATTATCCTGTTTTACACAATCAAGCTTTTTCCTTCAATATACATAACTTAACTTAAGCTTTTTTCTATTTTTCATATCATATTTATATATTATATATCATTAAGTATTTTCAAGCATTGTAAGTCATTTGTTTTAAAAGCTGGAAATACAGTAATATAATTTGTCAGGAAATGTTGTTGAACATAATGCAGCTTTGAGACAAAAAGAAATCGGAATAAGACATTTGATAGATCTCTCAAGTCATATTTATACATTCTATTTTATCTGTTTTATAAAATGAATGATACCTGCAATTATCTATTTTTATTTAAACTAGGTTCTATTTTATCAAACTATATTACTTACGTAATCGAAATTTAATCGAAAAGTAATCGATGATTACACGATTTTTTTTGCTGTTATCTATAAAATTACGATTACATGTAATCCAAAATTTGGACGATTACAGATTACTGTCGATTACTCGGTGTATAGATTACGATTACCCCCTCCCTGCAGTCAAGTAATGTTATGGATATTATTTGCCTCGATATCACACGGAAACTAATTTTGATAGATTTGTTGGAAGCCATTATTAACAATTTACGGAGTTTTTTTTAAGTAGGTTTATAGTGATATAATCTGCTATGCCTTTTTTTCTCTGATATTAGTTTGTAACGTTGTAAGGTTCCGTGAGTTCAGATCATATGTTAATAAGATGAAGACGAGTCTTGATGACAACACTTCCGATCAAAACAATTCCTAATTTCACCATTTAAAATCTCCATAATGAAATAAAAAATGACGATTGATGTTAGAAATTGGTTAACTAGGAGGGACTATTTATGCATTATAAAAAGTATTGTTTGGGCAAATACTCGTGAACAACTCGCGTAAATGTTGTAGACAATTAAAAAAAAATCTGCTAAAATTACCTCAGGTTTCGATACGATATTTAAAGTATAAGGGAGGATCAAATTGATCTTTGATTGCAAATGAGCGGTCTAGATTTTTTAATTGAAGTTTGCAAATTTGATGCAGAAATGAAACCCTTATGAGTGATGAAATTATATTCCCTCAGTGTTTGTTACCTTGATTTGCCTTATCAATCGATTTTGGAGATTTCAACATTAGCATAATAAGTAAACTACTGGTGTATTACTATAACATGTATAAGCGAAAAAATAATTGATAAGTTTGAGTAAGTTCAAAACGTAATGTTGAGCATATGGACGTACACCAAAAGTATAAATGAAAGGCGTTGTTCAAACAGGCAAACATCGTGGTCAATTATTTAAATGGTACTTGCATAGGCTTTATATTTGTGGGTTTAACATTTAAAAAAAAATTGTCCAAAATATATCATTCATTTGTGAAACGCATAGAAGGGAACTAAACTACCTGTTTGTCTTTTGTTTTGTGTTACCTCATTTTGAAGAAAAGACATCAACATAAATCTTAAAATAAAAGTTCAAATTTCATTGAAAAATTAGGCCAAAAAAAACGGCCTTTATCACACTTCGTATTTGGAAACAAGGAAGATGAGAGCATCAATGATACAATACACCAACAACACAACTTGAGCAATAAGAGACATCTATATTTTTTTTTCTTTTATGAACGCTGTCAACGTAAGAAGAATAACCGTTCTCTAGGAGTTATTTATAAAATGCTTCCATAATTATATTCATGTACACACAAGATCAGTCTTTCATAAAAAAAAAGAATGTTTTCTAAAAATTCTAATCATATATACATGTAGATATATAGATTCAGATTTATATATAATATAAATAAATATTCCTCTTTTCTGTTGTATAAATACTAGATTAAGATGTATATTGACTATTTTGTAATTTATATATTGTGTACTAACCATGATAATAAACTTTATCATACAAGTATTAACGAGACCTGGATATGGTATCG